CCGTCTTCTGCTGGGCACTAATGTGTACTCATTTATGTAGATGAATATGAGAGAAAAATGTGTTATCCACCATCTGTCTGTATTTAGAAGAACTCACCATCGTGACATCACTGACACTCGTCTGAAACAATAGTTACAGTAGTAACTGTAAAGTTACATAAAGTATTTTGTTTCTTTTTTACTGTGGTTTTCACTTGGGTTGCAGTTTTGTGGGACCCAACCAAGAAAAGACGTCTGGGGGGCTGGAAAGGGCCTTCGTGGATGAGTCACAGCCCCCTGCAGCTGCAGCAATACATGGGGCCGAGGAGTCGACAAGCCACCCAATCAGTGCTGCTCACCCCCCCAACAAGGATCTGATTGGCAGCATCAGAGCAGAAGTAGACAAGCTGATGCAGGATCATACCAAAAGCTCTTCTCTCACATCATCTCACACTGGCACAACCAAGAAACACCCGGTGAGCAAACTATAAAAGGCACCACTGTAGAAAAGAGATTACATTCACACTTTGCATCATACGTTTCCTCAGGCCTCCCGTGGCTCCCTGACTTCTCCTTCCTGTACCTCTTCAATGAGACGAGCCACTCCAGCTCCTGTCAGAGGCCAGCGACTGGGTGGGAGAGCGGCGGTGACTTCAAGGTCATCAGGGATAAGTAGAGGTTCTGCTGCACCAGCCAAACCCCGGTCTGCTGTTTCCTCACAGTGTCCACACAGAGCGAACCACGAAGATTGCTGGGACAGCACAGGTTATTAACTGCACACATCAAGCTTTAGATAATGAAAGAATGGTGTGCTTTCCACACTGATAGAAACTGTACAGTCATTGATCAATCATTGGATAACTGCTTAACTTCATTTCTTATCAACCAGCATCAATCCTGTCAGTTTACCTTGTAACGTCCTGACTTTGTAGCACTTCTTTGAATCCCTTTCTGTGTTTTCACTGCTAGAACCAGGAGTAACAGTGAGGAATGAACTAGTGGCATCTGTTCAGTCCTTGGTGGCTGTCCTCCAGCAGCAAGTAGATGCTACCAAACACCAGGATTCTGCACAGGAAGTCAGAGAAACCAGGCTGGAGCAACATGTTCCACAGATCAGTGTAAGGAAAGACTGTTTGTGCAGGTTTTCCTTCATCTTTTCACTCTGTGTGGTTGGTAATAACCTGTATAACTTTAGGAAGATGTGTTTGGGTAATCCTGTTTGAACTCGAGTGACTTCACTTACGAGGAGCACATTCCAGTGATGAAGCTGGAAAAGAGAAAAACAGGGCTTCATTAATGCATCATTAACACCATAACACAGAGGTTCCTGTATTCACACTTACACACACAGTTACTGTCCCTCCATTTAGAAAGGTGTCATGGTCTATTTTGTGTAGTTGTTTTTTCCTGTGTGATAATATTCAACATTGCTATCAGTACATGTGTCTGTGATTTAAACAGCCCAGCGCTGCTCCTGACGCAGGGGAAACTAATCCTGCAGGGAGACCTACCTCTGCACTTGTGCAGGTGAAGCCAAAGGGCAGATACCATCATCTTTTCTTTGACTTGGAAGGAAGTTGGTTTGGAAACATATTTGGAGATGCTTCATCCTCTGCTTTGCATTAGTGTGGGAGCCCCGTCATAAACATGTCCGTTATGCGAGCAGGTCCACACGTTTGTCATTCATACTCCCCTTGCAATGGCTCTACGCCCCCCACTTTGGGAACCTCTGCCGTAATACTGTTGTTTTGTGCTGAGAAACACTCCTACAGCACATTGATGGATAGAGCCTGGTCTGTGTGCTTATTTAGTGAGTCTTGAATACACAACAGTGTCAGTGCAGTTTTCATTTCTGGGATATTAGTTAATTGATTTGAGGGAGCATTCCAGAGGATATTCTGACGGGAACTTCTGGAACGTGGCATTGGATTACCAAACACCCTCATGCTTACTTCCATCTCAACTTCTAATACTAAGCGTGTCAGCAGTAACCATGACCTCTGCTTTTCTTGAACAACATCATACAGAGAACATGAATCCATTCATCTTCTATTACTTATCTGAAGCCAAGTTACAGTAGTAACAGGACATGTAGGGTGTTGGAGATGGAAGGGATGTGTACTCTCTCCAGCCTGTTCTGTGTTGGTGTCTGGCGTTGAGGTTGAGCTGACCTTTCAGAGCTCTCCTTTTGCCATGTTTTACAGTGTTAGCTCTTTGTGGGATGAAGTCTGTGTACCTAAAATCTGCTGCTGGTTAGCAAAGCAGAGCCTAAAGCTTACAGATGCTAGACAAAACCTGAGTATGTGTAGTAGCTGGTCATTGGTACAGCTCTGGGTCCTAAATATTTAAAATGGAAAGATGTGAGTAAAGTTAGAGCCTTTGTTGTTTGCACATCACTTTAGCAAACTGAGAGCCATCCAGGGAGAGACTGAGCTGCAGAGCTGAAGTGCAACCGCCTCTGCTTAAAAAAGGACTTCACAACCGATGATCACGTGTTCATCCACAGTGTTTCCAATGTTGTTTTTCCTAACACTAAATGTAGAGTGTCACAACACAAACATACTGCCAAAATGTGTGTTTCAAAAGGAGAAAAGCAAAAACATGTTGCAGCTCCTGTGCACACTGATTCTTGCTGAAAGAGAGGCGTGACTTTGGTTTGTTTCAGACGTACGGCAGCTCTGTGCTGGAGCAGCTGAGGACGCAGCTGGCACAGAAGGAGAGGGAGCTGCAGATGATGAAGGCAGGAGCAGAGGAGCTCAGCTCACTCAGACAGCAGAATTACCTGCTGCAAAGCAAGGTGCATAAACACGTCACTACTTTCATCCCATATATATGGGAAGTGTAGGATGGCCCTTTCTTATTTGGGTAAGACTTGTGTTTTTTCTCAGCAGCTGAGAAGTGCAGAAGAAGCCAGTCAGAAGAAGAGGTGGGTGGAGGCTGCAGATGTTGCTGCAGATGAGAAGTTCCAGCAGATTGATAAAGAAAT